AGTTTATTTATATTATTCACGAAAATATTATGATCATTTTTTCATTTATAATAATTGACATTTAAACTATTTGATATTATATAATTTTTCTTTATATATCTATATCTATGAAATTGGTTGGGGTCAAACATAATTGTATACCATTAACTACTTTTGTTGGCATTTTCAAAGCTATAATAATTACAAAAAAAAAAAAAATGGGTGTGCAATAAACAATTTTATTACTTAATAGGTGTTATTATTATTCGATATATAATTGACTTATCACTTATGGACCAATACTCCCAGCATTCTCCCAATAGCCCAATAGCCAATATAATTAGAGTAAATACCTAAAATAGTCCCTCGACTATAGCTAAATTCACAAATTGGTCCTCAACTTTCAATTTCAACCAATTAAGTCTTTAACTTTGCAATTTTGACACGATTTGGTCCTCCATCTATTTGACCGTTTGTTGATCGTGATCGATGATCTCCAAAAGAACCTTCAGCTCTCGTCAGAGCACGTGGAGCCTTCCAGGATGACGTTGCACCGGTTCGGAAATACGTCGTCTTCTTCGCTCTGGTACGAACTCAACTACATTGAATCCAAAGGGAGGATGAAGAAAGGCGACCGGATTTGGTAGATTGCTTTCGGCAGTGGATTCGAATGTAAGAGTGCGGTCTGGAAATGCAATCGGAATCTTAAAAAACCGATGATGGACCATGAAATTACATATATATCCTCAAAAACACAGTCAACAAACGGTCCAATAGACAGAGGACTAAATTGTGTTAAAATTACAAAGTTAAGGACTTAATTGGTTGAAATTGAAAGTCGAGGACCAATTTGTGAATTTAGCTATAGTCGGGGGACCATTTTAGGTATTTACTCATATAATTATACAAAACACAAGTACACCGTGCAAACACAAATCTGAAAATTAAAATCACTAATCTTTTTTTTTTTGAAAGCCAGAAAAGATACTTCATTAATAGCTCACAAGAGCAGCAATACATGAGGGCGGGTTTGTGAACCATGACCCTAGGACAGATGAAGAATCCGTCGCCCGTGCCAGAACATGAGCTACGTGATTCACTGACCTCCTGACATGGCGAACCTGAATGGCCCCTATGTCATTAGCAATTTGAAGACATTGCTTTACAACTGAACCAACATATGAAAAATCAGAATGACGAGAATTAAAAACAGTAGAAAACAATAAACAATCAGTTTCTATAATGATATTATTATAAGCTAAGCTACGCATCCATTCCATTGCTTGCGCAACCACTGAAGCTTCTGCTAATAACGGGTCTTGAATGCGTCCTAACCTTCCTCCTTTAGCCGCAACGAAACGACCATCATGATTTCGAATAACGACACCATAGCCTGCACCATCAGTGAACAGAGCTGCATCCACATTACATTTCAACCAGTTAAGTGGTGGTGGATTCCAGAGAGAATTTGGAACTGTATTAGATGAGGCCTCCCCCGCTGCATGCCTACTAGGTGTCCACAAGGTTTGTAAAGTTTGTACCTGAAACGATAACGAGGATGAAGAAACTGAGGCATCCCGCCATACTCTGTCGTTTCTGGCCTTCCACAATACCCAGAATATAGCTGCCGCATGGATCATCTGTTGTTTAGGGGCGCTGTTGAGTAGCGTTTCCAAAAACTCCACCACCGAACCTCCACGTAAAATATCGTCATTTTCCCAAAGACGTCTGGCTATCATGCATTGACCGAAAATATGCTCCACCGTCTCTGATTGACACTCGCACAGCGCACATCCACCGCCGATCCATACGTGTCGTTGCTTTAAGACCTCCTTCACTGGAATTATGCCCCTTATGTACCGCCATAACAGATTCCTCACTTTAGGAGGAATGGACAACTTCCATAGTCGCTCCCAAGCCGTGAAGCTGCTGCCCTCATCCACTGCTGAGATGTTGTCCGTCAACATGGTATAACCTTGCCGAACGGAGTACATCCCTCGGGCATCCCCAAGCCATCGCCAAGAGTCTGCTTTCGTGGGTGATAGAGGCGTGGCTAAAATCCGCGGAACATCATCGGCATTAAAAAGGTCATAAAGAATTTCTTCGTCCCACGTACCTTGAGGAGTAAGAAGCCCCGCTACCGGCGCGTCTTTCAAATGATCAATGCATGGCGTGGATAATTGTGGTAAGTTCTTATCTGCTAGCCATGACCAGTCCCAGATTTTAGAGTCCTTCCCATTACCAATGCGTCGCGCCGCACCTCTTTTAAGCAAGTCTTGACTCTTGACCCGCCATAATACTTCTCCACAAATAGCTCGGGTTGTGGCCGACTTGCGCATTTAAAAATGAGTCGTGCGGATAATATTTCGCACGTAAAAGTCGACTTACCAATGAGTTGGGATAAATTAGAAGACGCCATCCTTGTTTTGCAAGGAGCGCGAAATTGAATTCGTGAAGCCGTTTGAATCCTAGACCGCCCTTTGCCTTTGGTAAACAAAGTCTGGACCAACTAAGCCAATGGATTCCTCTATTGCTTGTCCCGCCGCCGCCCCACCAATAACGGTTGAACAATTGCTCCAAAGTGTCACAAACCCGTTGAGGGAGATAGAAGACTGACATTGTGAATATTGGTAATGCCTGAGCAATGCTTTTTAGCAATACTTCCTTACCTGCTCTCGAAAGTAACCTTTGTTACCAGCCTCCAATCCGTTCCCGGATTTTCTGTTCAATATAACAAAACGTGGCTGTTTTGTTACGTCCCAAGACCGATGGTAGACCAAGGTAACGGCCCAGATCATTGGACTCATTGACTCCCACGCAACCCGTCACAAGACAGCGGGCTTCCGGAGTGGTATTTACACTGAAAATAATGTTCGATTTCTCATAATTGATTACCTGGCCTGAAGCTGCACTGTAAGTATCGAGACAATATCTGATTTTCTGTGCTTCAGTTAGTGTTGCCCTGAAGAATAGGAGGCTATCATCGGCGAAAAATAAATGTGTCACCGTCGGGGCACCACGAGCAATACGTATCCCATGAATATCACCCTGCCTCTCAGCCTGTTGCAACAATATAGACAGTCCTTCAGCGCATAATATGAATAGGTAGGGAGACAAAGGGTCTCCCTGACAGATACCACGAGTCGGATTGATAGTCCCTGCAGTCTCGCTATTTACCTGAATGTAATAAACCACTGACTTCACACCCATCAAGAGCAAGCTGATCCAGTCATTGTCAAAACCCAGTGCCCTGAGCATACCTTCCAGGAAATCCCATTCCATTCGGTCGTAGGCCTTGGCCATGTCGAGTTTCAATGCAGTCCAGCCCATTGCCCCACTGGTCTTTCTTCTCAGATAGTGACCGACCTCCCCGGCTATGATGACATTGTCAGTTAACAACCGATTAGGCACAAAAGCACTCTGTGACTCCGAAACCACCGCTTGGAGCCTACTTTTCATTCTGTTCGCCAGTGCCTTAGCGAGAACCTTGTACACTACATTGCAAAGGGCAATCGGTCGAAGGTCAGAGACCTTCTCGGGACACTTTTTCTTGGGAATAAGAACTATATTCGAGTCATTTAGACCCGGTGGCAGCCTTCTTTCCGTAAGACAATGAGAGATAAACATGAATAAATCGTGACCCAAAACAGGCCAGAAGTGCTGGTAGAAAGCGGGAGACATACCGTCTGGGCCTGGGGCCTTCTCCGGGGCCATCGAAAAAAGTGCCTCTTTGATTTCAGCAATAGTGAAAGGTAACGCTAGTGTTGCGTTCATCTCGGCGGAGACCCAGTTCGGAACCAGATTATAAATATTTGCGTTGATGCCGGTGGATTGGAAAATATCTGAATAGTAGCGTAATACCTCGACATTCAATTCCGGACCTTCTACCCATTGACCCTCGGGATTCTTAATCCGATGTAAACAATTTCTGCGTCGTCTTGCCGTGGCTGATTTATGAAAATATTTTGTATTCAGATCGCCATGTTTGAGCCAGAGTTGTTTCGCCCGTTGTTTCCAATAAAGTTCTTCTTGTTTTAAAAGCCCATGTAACGTACCTTCGGCTTCAATGTATTCCGCCACATCTGACTGATGCCGTGAATCTCGCAAGGTTTCCAGTCTGCGATGAAGGCATGTAATTTGCTTGCCACTTCGACGAAAATATTCATCACCCCATTTGCCCAGCTGACGCCCACATTCAAGAATCCGATGTTGAAAATCCATGCCAAGCGTCAAACTCCATATTTGGTCGACCACTTTGTGACAACCTTCATCATGTAGCCATGCGGATTCGAACCTGAACCTTTTCCTAGCCCTCTGAACCGCTCTTGTTTCCACATCCAAAATAATCGCACTATGATCCGATTCCAAAGTTAACAGATTACGGACTTCGGCCGATTCATAGATGTCGAGCCAGCTTTGAGTTGCCACCGCTCTGTCTAGGCGTTCTTCGACCCAAGCCTCTGTACCGCGCCCCTTTTCCCAAGTGAATCGACTCCCTTCCATGCCCAGATCAAATAATTGGCAATCCATTAGCGCATAATTAAATCCCTCGATGAGAGCCGTGGGTTGAGGATGAGGTCCCCTTTTCTCTGACTGGCACGTGACATCATTGAAGTCCCCGATGGTAACCCATGGGAGGGATGATTGATCCCGGAGCTCGCGAAGGAGGTCCCAGGTCTCATGCCGTCTACTTTGGTCCGGGTTCCCGTAAAAACAAGTTAATCACCAATCTGGTTTCTCTGGTAATGAAATGCTCACATCGATATGGTTTGCTGAGTAGTTGATCAGAGTTGCCATTGCCGCATCTCTCCATAGAAGTGCTAAACCACCTCCTCTGCCATTTCTCTCCACACACAGTAGGCCTTCAAATCCCATGCGAATTTTTAAACGTTCGACTTGTGACTTCGTTGCTTTCGTTTCCATGAGGAAAACGAAACTGGGTTGCTGGCTGGACACGAGGCCCAGCAATTCCTGAACTGTCCGGTCGCTACCCAACCCCCGGCAGTTCCAGCTCAAGATGCTCATTGCAAAGGGCGAGCCTGGGCTGCCAGAATCGCCGATCCCGCATTTTTTGAATGATCAACCATGATAACATCCTCCTCTGCATTGCCTTCCCTGCGACGCTTCAAGTCCCCATGCAAACCAGTAGATGGCTCTACTGCCTCCACCTCTTGAATCGTCGATCCCGAATTTTGTGTTGGCGCAGGAGACGCAGCGCTTGGGAGGTCCTGTAACAGCCATTTCGCACCGATCGGCCGCACCTGACGGCGAGCTCCTACCCGCATCCACGCCCCATAGGGATATATGTCCGGTTCCAAGCCTTCGTCATAGGCTTTCTTGCAGAACTTTTCGGAGTGCCCTAACACCCCGCAGCAGAAACCAAACGTGCCCAAGCGCTCGTATTTGAAATTCACCCAATGCGCCGATCCATCCCTGCGGAACAGTCGCATCCTCCTTTTCAAAGGTTGCCGAATATCGACTTGGACACGAATGCGAAAGAAACTTCTCCATGTGCCGCCAAAGTTATGCGGATCTGTTGCCTTAAACGTGCCAATATGATTCCCGATACGGGGGATGAAATCTGCGGAAGCGAAGACTATTGGCAGATCGTGTACCTGGATCCAGAAGTCGACAAACTCAAGGGTGATATCCGCTGGGTTCGCGCCGATCGGAACTTTGTCTAAAGCCAGAGTATGATTTTCAAAGGTCCAGGGTCCATCATCAATAACTCGTTGCATGTCCTTTAGGTGCGGGAATTGGAACAGAAACAGATTCTCCTCAATCGGAAGGATGCGCATGCCCATGACTGGTCTCCAAACCGAGGCCAACACCTGCTGCATGTGCTCATGTTTGATCGGTCGATCAGTCAAAAAACGCCCTACCAGCTCGTGGTGGACGATCTCCGGCGGGATGACCTGTTCTTCCGGAGCCTCCAAGCCGCCAATTTCCTCCTCCGTCAATTTCATGACCGCGCAAGCCTCCTCAATTCCTCGAGTGTCCATGGTAGCCATGTGCAGTCCGCTTGGGTGGCAGATAGGTTGATCGGACGGGTGTTGATGAGATCTGCTAGCCCGATCTAAACGATCGTGATTGGACGGTCGACGACGTTGATCTCTGTCGGCGACAAGCGGTTGCAACAAACGATCGTAAGGGAGATCGCGAATAATGGAAAAAATCATAAGAGCGTAACTCGGTGTAGCGATGCGATTGAAACCGGGGAAGATCGCATACATAAATAGCATGAGAAGATGATCGTGGATGAAAGCATAGTGGGAGAGAATGAAATGCCATAACAGGAAACCATCAGCCATAATGGGGTAGTGGCCCTAGAAAACTAGGGAGATACTCTCTAAAGGAAATTCAGAGAGAGACCGCTTTTGTGAGATTATCGACAGTAATAAATTGTGTTTGAAATCACTAATCTAAGTACTCCGTAAGTTGTAAGTATTAGGACTTTATGTATTTTAGTCAATTTATGATTTACAATACTAGTCTCTACTTATATATATACTTAGAATCTGTACTCTTGTAATAATCATTGTTAATACAATCAATAAACGTTCTCATCTGGTATCAGCTAGATAGGATTTCTTCCCAATAGCTGACGAATCTGTCATTTTCTCTGAACGGACCATTTCCGATGCTACTCTCTCATAGGTTGCTTCATCCATGACTACTTTCTCCACCGATCATCACTTTATCAGTGTCAAACTGACTTATCGGAACTTCTTATTTTGGAGAGCTCAAGTTGTTCATTTTCTCAACAAGCATGACCTAATGGGTTTCATCGACGGATCAAATCCTTGCCCGTCGGCCATGATCTCGTCCGGCGAGGAGGGGGTGTTACCACTGCCGAATCCCGCTCGTCCATCGTGGGTTCGTTAGGATCAGGCGCTCATTTCTATGCTCATGTCATCGTTGTCTGATGAAGTTATGCCCTTGGCAATCGGGCATCACACCAGTCGTGCAGTGTGGACTGCCGTCACCTCTGCCCTCGTCTCGATCTCGCTCGTTGAACTTCCTCGGGCAGCTCTAACGCTTCAACAGGGTGACGCCTCCGTCGCCGATTACATCGGCCGAGCCCAGGTTCTGATAGAGGACCTTACCCTCGCTGGCCGGCATGTTCCTCTCGAGGAGCAAAATCTATATGTCTTCCGGGGGTTGAGGCCCGAGTTTCATAGTCTTGTATCTTCTCTCAACGTCCGGGGAACGCCAGTCATGCTTCATGAGCTCTTGGGTCTCCTCGGTGCCAAGGAGTTCGTCGCCGGCAGTGGACCGAATGCATCGCCGACGGCTTTTGCTGTGAAGAAAAGCGGACAACAGCGAGGTAAGGGGAGCCAATCACGTGGTGGTGGCGGTCGTGGCTCCGAACTGAACGACGGGCAGTCCCATGGCGGTGCAGGAGGCCGTCGCGACAATGGTAGCTGTGGCCGTGGCGGTAGGAACTGCAATCACCAATCTAAATGTCAACTTTGTGGGATACTATGGCACACTGCGGTCACTTATGGTTTATCAGGGTGCTCCTTCAGATTCCTCACAATCTTCTCATACTTGGTTCCTAGACACGGGTGCGACAAATCATGCTACCCAGATATAACGACTCTCCCTATCTTGGATGAGTATAATGGTAATGACACACTCCGTGTCGGTGATGGTACATGTTTGCCTATTAGTCATATTGGTCATGCTTCTTTTCATACCACCTCTAGGTCGTTTCATTTGTCTAATATGCTTCATGTTCCCACAATATCTAATTCTTTATTATTCGTTCAGAAATTTGCGTATGATTATAAAGTATTCTTTGAGTTTCACCCATCCTTTTTTGTTGTGAAGGATACCAACACCAAGGAGATTCTTATTCGAGGCAATAGTTCTGGTGGGTTATACACACTACCAGTTCCAAGTTTGTCACCTTCCACGTTTCTTTCGGCTCGTGCGTCTCCATCTATTTGGCATGATCGTTTGGGTCATCCACACTATTGTGTCCTTAGTCGTGTTATTCCTTTTTATTCTGTTAGTGGGTCTAGTAGTACTATTCGTTGTAATTCAAGTTTATGTCATGCGTGTCAATTGGGTAAATCTGCTCGTTTTTCATTGCCACGTGTTGAAACCTCTAGTTCAAACATTATTGATTTAATCTATACTGATATTTGGGGTCCAGCTCCTATCTTGTCTGCTGATGGTTATAGATATTTTGTTATCTTTGTTGATGACTTCTCTCGTTTTACTTGGTATTTTTCCATGAAACAAAAATATGATCTCTATGATATTTTTGAGAAATTTTGTGCTCTTATTGAACGACTTTTCAATCGTAAGATCAAATCTATCCAATATAATTTAGGTGCCGAGTACAAAAAGTTGCATTCATCTCTCACAAAATTAGGGATGTATCAGACAGTCATGTGCTTATACTCACGAACAAAATGGTCGTGTGGAGCGAAAACATAAACGTATCGTCGAAATCGGTCTTACTCTCATTGCTCGTGCTTCTATTCCATATAGGTTTCGGGATTTTGCATTTGAAAATGCAATTTATTTATTTAACAGAATGTCATCTGCTGTATTAAATAATTTCAGTCCTCATTCATTATTGCATAAATCTCCTACATCCTACCCTTTTCTTCGTGTCGTTGGTTGCCTGTGTTATCCTCACCTACGACCCTATAATCGTCACAAAATGTCTTACAGATCCTCTCTGTGTGTCTTTCTTGGTTATCATAAGTCTTTTAGGGGGTATAGATGCATGGACTTACAACTAATAAGGTGTTTATATGCAGGCATGTCAAATTTGATGAAGCAGTTTTTCATTTTGCTACTAAGAATTCTGTGCAGAAAATTTTAGATTCACATTCTAAACCATGGGTTGCATCTATTCTTCACCTCGTGGTGACCGAGTCTGTTGCCCGCGTTCATTCCGAACTAGCGCAGCCGCTTGCACCAGTTCGGACCGAACCAACACTATCGGCAGAGCCATATCGGACCGACACTGCACTGCCTCTTGAGGCTGTGATAGCATAACAGGCTGTCTCGGTGGCAGCCATTTGTCCGCGAGGGCGTCCACAGGGCTGGTCCACTCGGCCGAATGTTTGCACGCACAATATGGAGACACGGAGCCAGTCGTGCGCACCACCTACAGTTTTGACATCTAAGGTTTGCACCATTGATCATAGTTGTTACACACAGGCTGTCAAACACTTGGAATGGTACCAGGCCATGGATGAGGAATTTAATGCTCTACTACAGAACCATACTTGGTGTTTGGTTCCGTCTCAATCTAATCAGAATGTGATTGCTGTAAATGGGTCTTTCGAACCAAGAGAAAGGCGGGTGGTTCAACTGAGAGATACAATGCCAGGTTAGTAGCAAAGAGATTCAATCAGGTTCATGATCAGGACTTTTTTGACACATTCAGTCCAGTTGTAAAACCTACCACTGTCAGGTTACTTCTTTCTTTAGCTATATCCTCTGGTTGGACTGTGAGACAACTAGATGTTCATAATGCTTTTATCAATGATAATTTGACTGAAACTGTTTATATGCGAACATCCACCTGGATACATTGCCGTTTAATTTCATAATCATATCTGTTTGTTGAAGAGATCCTTGTATGGGTTGAAACAAGCTCTGAGAGTTTGGTTTAACCGTCTTCATGCGTTTTTATTGTCTGTTGGATTCCAGGCATAAAAACACAGATGTGTCACTATTTTATTACTCCCAGAATTCTACTTATGTTTATCTTCTAGTTTATGTTGATGACATTTTGGTGATGGGAAAGTGATCCGAATCTTGTTAGTTATTTTTTGCCAAAATTGTCTACTACTTTCAAGATTAGGGGTCTTGGTGAACCAGGTTTCTTTCTTGGTATTGAAACCGTTAAGTGCAGTGATGAGATCCTTCTATCTCAACAACGGTATATGCTTGATATTTTAAAACGTGCTGGTATGACTGATTGCAAACCTCTGTCCACCCCAATACTTGTTTCGAAATCTCTTTTTAACTCGTCAGATTTATATGATGATCCTACGCAATATTAGAGCTTGGCTGGAGCTCTTCAGTATCTTACTGTCACTAGAACAGATTTATCCTTTGCAGTTAATCAACTTTGTCAACATATTCATGCTCCTACGATCACTCATTGGGAACAAGTCAAGCATGTGTTGAGGTATGTCAAAGGAACTCTATCTTATGGTTTACGTATTCGAAAATTTGAGTCCAGAGAATTACATATCTTCTCTGACTCAGATTGGGCTGGTTGTTCTGAGGATTGTAAGTCAACCAGCGATTATGTTGTTTTTCTTGGATCAAATCTTGTGTCTTGGGTGTTGATTGCGGTAATTTGGGCAAACAAATAATACCCGGAGTATTCGGGTTATCGAACCACATGGAAGTGGGGTACTAAGCACTAGCTACTTTGTTACTCATATGGAACTAATCTAAACGAAACTTGAAAATTGAATAATTGTAGAAAATAAAAGGCAGAATAAATAAATTAACAAGGTGTTGTAAGCAATAGAGCAAAATAGGATTCTTGGGATCACAATGTTTAATCACCTAGTGCCAATTAAAGTTGTAATATTTAGTTTGGAATTAAGACTTGTGTGAGAATGCAAGGTGGAATCGAATTACTATCATAATCTCTATCCCTAGTGAATTTCTACTCTCGTGGCTTAAACACTCATTAAGAACAAAGAACATCATTCATTTATTCCCAATTACTACCACCTCTCGATGCGCAACAATCTAGAATAAATTCCCCAACCAATTTGCTCTTTCTCAAGGTGCAACAGTCAAGTGCAATCGTGTGTGCCCTAATTTATGCCTGACTCTCGTTATGACATGAACATGGCTATGAAGCAAGTAATTTAGGCCTTTAATTACTAGCAACAACAGATTAAAACAAGATTGCAACGCAAATCATAAAACCAAACATAAATATATTAAGGAATTAAAGAACCAGGCACATAGGTTCATAAACAAATTCACCCAAAAATCCTTAAGGGTTTTAGCCACTCATGACCATAATAGCACTCAATACAATCTTGGAAGATAAACAATCAACAATAGGAATAAAAGAAAAAGTGAAAGAATTCTCCCGAATCTTCCTAGCCAATTCTCTACTCCAAAGCTAATTGTCTATCTTGAAGTTGGTCCTCTTGGTTTTTGCTCCTTCTTGCCTTCCAAAACCAAAATCTGGGAAAAAGAAGAATCCTAGGGTTGATGGAAGATGATCCTTTTATAGTGGAAACTCAATGGAATTATTTTAGGAAAGTTTCAATCTTCTAAAAAATTCAGCAATGCGCGTTCTCGACTCGTCGAGCCTCTGGTCTGGCACGATCTATAGCTACTGGAAATTCTCGACGCGTCGAGCCTGTGATGCCTTGACTTCAACCTCTTTTTGATCCATTCGTGCTTTAAAATCCCCCCTTGCTTTTGCACTTAGCCTGTAATGGTTAAAAAACACTACCAAACACTGTAAAACATTCAAAACAAGTGTAAAATCATATCCTAATGAGAAAGCAAGGAAAACATGTATTAAATAGGCAAAATTAAAGATCTTAGTTACTAAAATGATTCAAAATAACAACAAAAACATGCACAAATGTGATAACATCAGGTGTGCAAGAAGTAAAGAACTGTGGTCAGATCTTCTCCAGAGGCTGAATACAAATGTTTAATTAATGTTTGTATTAAGGTAATCTGGGTTCTCTCCCTCTTACGAGAGATTGAGGTGATTGGGATCTCTGTTCCCAAGCTGTGGTGTGATGATATTGGTACTATCTATCTATGTGCTAATCCCAATTTTCATGCTCGCACTAAACATGTTGAGATTGACTATCATTTTGTGAGGGACAGAGTTGTAAAGGGAGTGATTCAAGTCAACTTTATCTCCACCAAAGATTAACTTGTTGTTGATATATTTACAAAAGCTTTAGCAGATTCTAAGTTTTCTTTTCTTAGAGACAAACTACAGATCACGTCTGCATCCTTTGCTTGAGGGAAATATTGAAACTCTATGTATTTGAGTCAATTTATGATTCATAATCCTAATCTTCCTATAATTCAAAATCCGGTTAAAGTACCTACGAGGTCCCTGTACTATAACGTTTTGTTCAATTTAGTCCTTATACTTTTATTTTGTTTAATTTAGTCCCTATACTTTCAAAAGTAGTGCAATTAAGGACAATAGTTAACGATGTTAATATTATCGTTAACTTAGGTTACGTGGCACTAATGATATTTATATTCCTACTCATATATTACTTTATAAATATTTAAAATCTATCATTTTACCACCAATATATTAAATTAGTATGTCCAAAATAAATAATTACGACCATGTTTGTAATGAGATTTAGACAATTGTCCTTAGTTTTACCAATTTTTTAAAGTAGAGGGACTAAATTGAACAGAATAAAGGTACAAAGACTAAATTGAACAAAACACTATAGTACAGGGACTTCATAGGTACTTTGACCTCAAAATCCTAATTTCCTTATATATATATATATATATATATATATATATATATATATACTCTCGTAATAATCACTGTTAATACAACCAATAACGGTTGTCGTACTAAGCCCCTCAACCCTTTCCAGGCTTCCCTAATTCCTCTCGGCCTCATTCTCTTCTTCTCCAAATTTCCAATCTTCACGAGACCACAGCCGACTCCAATCTCCGACGCCCTCCATCCAAATCTTCCTCTCACGCCCTCCGGCTGTCCGGCCGACGCCCTCGCTGCTCAAGGAGTCAAGGTAAATTTTTATTTGTTTTGGTTGCAGAATTTATGTGTTTGTTGATGTGCAACTCTAACTTCTCTTAATATAGAATTTATTCCGTGTACCTGATGAATTAGTGTCTGGATAGCCACTGGACAGTATGTCTAATTAAGTGGAATAATTTGGTAATTTGTCGGTTTTTCGGTAAACGAAAATAATCATTAGGTTTTCGGTGGGTGCGTTATGTAAGTGAGTTCTTTCTATTTTTGGGTTTTCGGCCGATCGACCTTTTGCTCACCTCCAGGCGTGGCGGTGATTTTTGCAGGAGACAAGTAGGAACTTGCTCGATAAGGACTTTTCTGTTTTGTTTGGAAGTATTTTGAGCTGGTGTTTACTAAATTCCGTTTGATTTGATCCGATTGAGAGGGAGGACTGATAAGCCACCATGGGAGAGAGAAAGGTTTTGAACAAGTACTATCCGCCGGATTTCGATCCGGCGAAGATACCGCGCCGGAGGCAGCCGAAGAACCAGCAAATGAAGGTTCGAATGATGCTTCCAATGAGCGTTAGATGCAATACCTGCGGGAACTATATCTACAAGGGCACCAAATTCAACTCCCGCAAAGAAGACGCCGTAGGCGAGGTATGTAGTTACTTATCAATTATTTTCACGCTGTTACTATCTTAATTTCACCCGCTCTATTCATCTTGGAATTGATGGAAACTATGCAATTTAGGGTTTAAGCCAAAATATACTGCTGGTATATTTTGCTGCTTTGAAACATCATGCACAAAGCTAATTCACGTGTTGAGTGTTGAACGAATGTGTAAACTATTCTTGATAATGAACTGAATAAGGAGAGGAATAATTAATGCTACTATAAGCCCTTGTATGCATTTAGGTATTTCTAGTTTGATAAAAGAGTCATTTTGTGTCATGATATATTGATTAAGGATTGGCTTTCTTTTGCTGAAGGTTATCCTTTGGATTAAGTGTAAAACTCACTGGAGACGAAGTTAGCATAATGTTATCCCTCTGTGGTTTGTATGTATAAGTAATGTGCTGTATTAACATTCAGCTATATTCAAGAGTTTGTTGTGTTCTTATAATTATAATTACTGAGGCATATAATGTGGATTCTCAAGTATTTATCTGACTTCTTTTCATGCAATGGGATCATTTGCAGAACTATTTGGGTATTCAAATATTCAGATTCTACTTCAAGTGCACAAAGTGCTCTGCAGAGATCACGTACAAAACGGATCCAAAAAATTCTGATTATATTGTTGAGTCGGGTGCAACAAGGAATTTTGAACCTTGGCGTGAACAAGATGAGGTACGGGGCTGTTGATTTACTTTCTATTTCTCCTTGTATTTATTAATATAGTTTTGGTGGGGTATGGGTTATATATCCGCTATAATGTTACTACAGAGTAGAATTTTTGGACATGGTTGATTTATTATTATTATTTTTTGCAGGAAATTGAGAAACTGAAACAGAAAAGAGATGCTGAAGAAATGGGTGATGCTATGAAGTCATTGGAAAATAGGACGTTGGATTCAAAAAGAGAAATGGATATTCTTGCTGCTTTGGATGAAATGAAATCCATGAAGGTGATTTTTTGAACTGCTTATTTTAGGACATGAGTGTTCTAGTGCAATATTTATGTCAATACCATTTATCTTTACTATTTTTTTAAATACCTTTTTCTTATGATGATTATTTCAGTCAAGACAAGCAACCGTGAGTGTGGAAGCAATGCTTGAGGCTCTTACACACTCTGCTGAGGAAAAGGTAAGTCTCTAATCCTGTATTATATAGTATAATGTTAATAATATTTTGTTTGCAACAAAATTGTCAGTTTTTGAATGCTAGCACCAATCTTTTGTATTTCTGAATATATTTCTCAAGCTTGCAATTTGATTTGGTTATCCTTTCAAGGCTGGGTGGATACACTTATCTGGATGTTGTAGTACAATTTAGTGTCCTAGATAGTCCATTTTTGTAGCCATTCATGATTACAAGTCGCCTAAATCAGTTAAGAACTCGCGGTTAATGCCTGAGCCATTCTCCCTGAAATGAGAAATTTGCAAGTTCTGCCAATAACATCAAAATTGAGATCTAAAAAAATTTATGATTTTTATGTTGGCAGGAAAGGAAAATGCTGGAAGAAGAGGAAGCTCTTATTAAATCTTTATTCAAAGTGCGTATTGCAGTTGTTGAAGTTTTGTTATTTGGCTTTGGCATCTTTTATTTCCGTTTTGCTTAAGTGTTTGTTTCTCATATAGTTTTCTTTGCTTCATGGTTCTAATTCAGGGAGAGCGAGAGAAGTTTGTAAAAAGAATCCGTGATGATGAAATTGAAGATGACGATGATGATGAAGAAGATTTGGATATACCACAAAAGAGTGGAGAATCATCAACCAATTCTGTTAAGGTACAATTGTACATCAATTGCCAATTTCCTCGTATTAGAGTGTATTAGTAACTTACTTCATAGATTTTTGAATAAACTGAAAATATAAGGTTTGAGTGCTTATAATATAGTTTAGGACTCATCTCATTTTCGAATATCAGATATTGCAAACTAAGGTTTAATTCATATTGATAAGCTAAAATTACCGTTACTTAAACGTATTGAGGTTTCTTGAATTTGCTTATACTGAGTTGCTTGTTCATTTGATGCAGAGGAGAAAGCTACCTGAGGAACTATGTAGTAACCCTACAGATGTCTTGACAAAATCCAATGCCACTGACAACTCTAGTGACAAAGGTTAGTTTAGCTCTGTCCTTCAATTAAACTGTTGTTGAATTAGAATTTATTTTCTACATAAACATTTGTCGCAATAGTTTGTATAATATTAATGTGATGTGTGAATAGAAGTTTATGTAGTGGTTGATATTTTTTTGTTTCACATCTTTGTTAAATACTTAAACACTGGCACACTGCAAATTGTCTATTTTAAATGGTCTTTCATTAATAGATTGGAGATATACTTATAAAGGAAAACCAAGGATACAAAAATAGATAAAAATTAATTAAAAATAAAAGAAGAGAGAATATTTTGGAGTTTAAAAGGAATGCACCCTCTCAATCATTCATATCTTTGTAGCATAAAATTAGGGTTCTTTCCTGTCCCTACTTTGTAGGGAGGGCCACATTAGGGCAAAAAACTTTGTCATACACGGCTTTGTGTACATTTTTCTTTCTTGTGGTTCTTTGAGCAGTATTAGTGAGCTTCCCCCTCCCCTTGTGGATTGAGAATGTTAACTTACCCATGTGTATTATTTTCCACATTTTTGTTTATTAGATATCTTTTAAGTTTTCTAATTTTCTGTAAAAAGAAATGTCAGCTAACAAAAACCACCTTTTTTTTTATTCTTGAAGAAAAGATATGTGCAACATGCATTGCTGATGTACTGACTTATTTCTTGTTGCACTTTTTTCACAGATAAAGCGGCGGGGAAGAGGGATTCTGGTAATGAAAAATTCATTTTTATAGTCAAGAAGAAATCTTTGCCTTCTAGTAGCAAGGAGATTGTAGAGGAAGAAAAGCCCAAGCAGGAGGAAGAGGCAAGCCTGAAAAGCAATGGATTACTATCATTATGTCAACAATATGAGAGTGATGATGATGATGATGATTAGTTTGAGTATTTATGAATCTTAATTGTGTAAGATATGTGTACACTGTCGATTTGAGTTCAGCTCAGGCCCAGCTCTTGGAGGATTAGAAAGTGCTGCATATGGGAAAATATTTTACATTTTTTGTGTACTCAAACCAGCTCTTGGAGGATTAGAAAGTGGTGCATATGGGAAAATATTTTACATTTTTTTTGCAAAAATTTATCGGTGATAAGCATTGTTAATAGTTCCGTTTGGTAACATAGTTAGCTAACCTTGTTAAGTTGGGGTTGGCTGATTACTTCCATTTTGTAATAGAAATAGAACAACCAAGTTTATCTCATTACATGTGAAATGAAAGATTGAAGCTCCATCCTAGAAACACCTCCTTCCTCTGCTGAATGCCTAACAGCATTGCCTACTTCCCCTGCTCTCTTTCTGATCTTATTCCCTTCCTCCGAAGCCATCAATCTTCTCACAATGTCTTTAATGGTTGATGAACTTACCAGTTCGTTGCGTTTCTCCCATTCCCTTATAAGCAAGCCTGTTTTGAGCATTTCTGTCACTAGGAAACTGTTTCTTGGTTGGTCTGAATGCATAGGCCAGCAAGCAATTGGCACTCCCATGCTAATGCTTTCTATGCAAGAATTCCAACCGCAATGGCTCATGAAGGCACCAATGGATGAATGAGCCAAGATTTCGCGCTGAGGCGCCCAGTCTCTGATCACTAGTCCAATGCCTTCCACTCTCTCTTCCAACCCTTCTGGTAGCTCAACTCTTCTGTCATCCCCGTCGAAGATATCTCCTTTATCAGCATCTCTTAGTACCCATAAGAACTTATGTCGGCTTTGTTCTAGTCCTTCTGCAAGCTCCCTGACCTGTTTATCTGACAGCGAAACTGTTGTTCCAAACGACATGTACAGTACAGATTTTGGAGCTTGTTTATTGAGCCACTCTAAGCACTCATGTTTCCTGCTTAAGCCATCATGGTTGCCTAATTTTAGTGGCAGTATTGGACCAATTGCCCACTGCCGTTTGTTCAAGCTTGGTTCTTGACTTGAAAGGAGATCCAAGAAAGGACCTTCAATTACTCTGGATGTATTATGCAGATCTCCTTCTCTAATCCTCATATATTCATACTGTGCAGCTGCAAATCTCCAGCCTTCATCCGTCGTGACTCCCTCGATGGAGGGCAGCCCTTTTGCTGATTCTTGAAATGGGAATGGTTTTCCCAGCCCTTCAACCACCATGATGAGAAGAGTGAAAACAGATATGCAGTTGAAGGCATAGCATTCTGCATTGGCAATTGAGACAGCATCTTGAACAACCATTGACATTGAAGGGTCATGAACTATCACAACCCTTCTTGCTTTGGAGGACATCTGCTGTAACAATGCAGCAACGGGGTGGCGCAGATGAACAGAAGCGAACCAGGACGGCTGCAGCTGAACCGGGAACTTAACCGAGGCGTTGGGGTCCGGGGGAGGTGAATCAAACTCTGGAGTTGGGAGATCATGGAAATGGATTTTGGCTATTTGTGAAGGGCTTAGGCCGTTGGCTCGGAGCCTGGCCTGCCGGTTGTGGATGGCAGAGCCAACATAGTGAACTGGTAATCCATAGGATGATGATATTAGGCAGGAAAGCTGCAGAAGCTGATTGAGATGGCCTTGAGCTGGAAAAGGCACCATTACTACTGCAATTCCATTCCGGTTCGAGTCAGAAAGTTGATGACTTTGGAGAAGATGATGATCATTGGAGCTACCCATTGCCCTCTTTTTCCTGTCTCTTCTGCAATAAAATGAAAGCTTGAAAACTGGAATTTGCCCTTATATATATAGTGGCCTGGTTTGTCATCATTGGCTCAAATCTTTTCCAAAAGTACACTGAGGTTCCATCCAAGAATGTTTTAGCTGCTTGTTCTTGACAAGTAGCAAACATACAAAAAAAAGCCGGCAGGGCGAGAAATGCATTGTCTAGCTTTGGTTTAAACATGCCAATACAAGTAGTTAAACACTAACAACAGAAACTGGCCTTGATGGGAACTTGGGAATGATTCATTGAGAGGCAAATGGCAATGAAATAACAAGTAATTCCGGACATAAACTAGACTACATTAGTTTCATATGGCAAAAGGCAATACTAAGCAAAAAAAGAGGTCTACTTGGTGCAGTGCTCTTGCTGCCATAGCACCAACAAATTATATTGTGCACACCGGCTCTACAAGGTGGACTTTGATATATGTAAATTACTTTTAATAAACTACATGTTGGGTTTTAGTATATTTGCAAGTCAAAATTAATCTGCATTAAGAGTTCATCTTGCTACATGGACCCTGGTCTAAGAGTATAAGTATAGCTAACATCGCACGGCAAATTATGCTGTGGAACCTTGCAAGGTAAACACGGTTCCAAAACTGTCCAAAGTAGTGGTCCACTGTAATGCTACATTGCTATGGCATTACAGTACAGTAATAATGGCATTGTATTATTATAGTGTAATGCCGTAGCAATGTAGCATTAGTGGCCATTACTTATATATATATATAAAATTTATTTATAATAATTATTCGGAGACGGAGCGGGGAGGGGTATCCCCGTCCCCAACGGGGAATTACCTAGATTTTCCGTCCCCGTCCCCATTCCCTGACAATCCTCCCAATCACCGTCTACATAGGAGCATGGATTGAAAATTTTCATCGGGGACGGGACAAATTGCCATCTCTACCCACCGCATCTCAGTGGACTGAGAGATGAGGAAGATATCGGTTTGGGCTTCAACAAGTCCACTTGCACTAAGCGGGCTTCCCTATTGGTTTGGCAACCCACCATAGGATTGGAACACATTCACAAAATTTCAAAGGAAAAAAAGCTTGATAACCCAAGAAATAGATGCTCAGACCGGAATATTGTGTAAATTATGCCGTGCAACCGTGTGCACTATGCATGGTGTACACTGTTGTAAAATGATGCCGTTTCAAATTAAAAAAAAAATTCCTTTTTCATTGCCGTTAATGGTGTTAGGCGGTTTCCATTCGTATTCAAACATTTCATTCTTTCTTCGCAATCGCGCAGTTTAGAAATTATGAATCTACTATATTTGAATTATGAATCTGTAGAATAGAAATTATGAATCTACAGTATTAGATTTGTGAACATGTGATAGAGCTATATATTCATAATTTTATAAATATATGTTCATAATTTTCGATGTTCATATTCCCAATTGTTGAACTCTGTATTCACAAATCACAGAATTATATATGTTTATAATTTGATAACTATACAGTTTTAGAAATTATGAATCTACAGTACGTATATTATGAATCTGCAGTATAGAAATTATGAATCTACTGTATTTAAATTATGAATATACGGTTTAGAAATTATGAATTTACATTATAGATTTTATGAATCTACAGTATAGAAATTATGAATTGGAACCGTGCGCACCGTACATGGTGCACACGGTTGCACAACATAACGTTCCAGAATATGGCGTGGAGTCTTGGATCGTAGTCCAACTAGCTACGTGAACCACGATCTAAAAACACATAAAATACATTATTCTAATTTATAAAATATATTATTTTTAGTTTTAACTAGGGGTGACCACGGTTCCGGTTCCGGTTCGGAACCGCCGATTCCGGTTCCGTGGATGGTGAAACCGGAACCGGAACCTTATAGTAAGGTTCCGGTTCCGGTTCTAACCGGAATTATTAAAAAAAAATTAAAAAAAACACTATAATATTTGTTTTTTTTTTTTCGGTTTGGAACCGGAATAGGTTCCGGTTTAGAACCGGAATCGGAACCGTACGGACGGTTCCGATTTGCACAGTCCCGGAACCGTGGTCATCTCTAGTTTTAACACATAAAATGCAAAATTCTAGCTCATAAAAATATTTGTCTTGTTTGGTAAAATAGTTAGCATATCAGTCAATTTTAGTTTATTTGACCACTATTAATTGTTTGACTTTGGTTAAACAATCAATATGAGTGTTTTATTAATTAACTTTTTGTAACAACTTATTGCTCCAAAATGCTAAAATTCAAAAAGCTACTCAAAACAACTTTTTAAGAAAGTGATTTTGTATGTAATTAGCTAACAACTAATTTACCAAACACTTTTCAACAATCAATTAATGCTATTAACTAGTTAAACCCACAAACCCAATCAACTAATAACCATTTACCAAACACCACCATTATCTTATCTCAAAAAATTTATTATTCTAATACATAAAGTACATTATACATTATTTTAACTAATAAAACATTATTTTAATACATAAAGTACATTATTCTAACTCATAAAATACATTATCTTATTCCAAAATATTCATTATTCTAACATACACACATAAAAAAAAAAATTTTTTTTTTTTAACATCAAAACAACGTTGTTTTAGACCGTGGTCCTCACAACATTGTGAATTACAGTCTACGCAATAATTGTGTGCGAGCCGCGTCATCTCTTACGTAGTTCTTCAATTATTGTGACGCAGGAGTGGAGAACGTACGTAAACATACATTTGGATATCGTAAGGATTTGACAGAGAAGTGTATGGGCGGCCAGGCCACACTATAAGTCTATAATAATTCATCTTTCTTCACTTCTATACCGTACGTACATCACTTCCTCCACTTGCAACTTGCAACCCATCCGATCGAGTAAATGCTCTATTTTTATTCTAATTTCATTTATTTTTGGTTGATACGGCATGTGCCAATTGACTTATAAATGATGGAACATAAATCGATAACATAGTTAGTTTATCAGTTAATTTTAGTTTATTTAATCATTATTATCTATTTGAATTGGTTAAACAATCAATATGAGTATTTGATTAATTAGTTTTTTGTAATAGATTATTGTTCTAAAATATTAAAATTCAAAAAGTTGTTCATAGTAGCTTTTTACGATAAGCTTTTTGCATGTGATTGTGGGTTCGATTCCCACAAACGGCGCCAAAATGATACGATTAATCACCCGATATATGCGTAGTGTATACAGTATGTAATGAATCAAGAGTAGGCATGGTAGAATATTAGCTCTAAGACCTTTTTATTCATTGTTCTTATGTGTTTTATAGTACATATTCTAGAGAGAGGAGAGAGTTGTGCGTGCTTTGTGTAGAGAAAGTGGAGAGGGGAAGAGAGGGCCTTTTAAATGAAGGCTTGAGGCTCTCTTATATAGGCCTAAGGGTTGACAGGTTTGACTTCAACCCATTGACTATGATCACGACCCGAATCGTTTGATCACAACTCGACTTTAAACGAGAGCATGGACGTATAGGGAGTTACAACTTGGGGTATATATTCTATCAAATTATAAATTAACAGTTAATTTATCAAATACTTGTCTACAATCAGTTAATACTATCAATTAGTCAAGTCCACTAACACAATTAATTAACAGTTATTTATCAATTTTTTTTTTGAAGTACATTGAATGTTTTCCAAGGTATGCAGTTGACGTGTCGGGATACCACATGTGCACACAGCTTAGCTTGTGTGGTAGTATTTTACGTGTACGTAAGTCGACGACGCATCATATTCTCGTATGCTCAAAAAAAAAAAAAAAAAAAAAAAAAAAAAAAAAAAAAAAAAACATTCATATGAGGAATAGAATTATAGAAAGCAGTAGAATTGCATTATAATGACAAGTTCGTTGTATCTTACGGGGTGTGAATATGTCTAAAATTGAATAATAATTTGGATGATAGACATATTCTAATATTTATTAATAATACTTCAAAAGAGTATGATGAACATCAATATTATTAGTGATGGGGAATATACACCGGCCATACGGGTCGTCCTTCTGACCCGACCGTCCTGCCCGGTCGTGTACGCAAACGGGCACTTGCCCGTTTGCGCGATCAGTCCCTTAGTAGGGGCGCCTCCGGAAGGCCCCCGAGCTCTCGACCGGGAACCGGGATGTACAGCCGCCCGGGATATGAGCCTGACAGCAGCAGAAGCCTCGCACCACGTGGACGGTCGCATGCCTGCCTCCCCTCCACCCGGTGCATGCGCGCCACGTGTCCGACATGCCGGGGGACCGGGCGCAGCTCCCTAGGACCCTTATAAATACTGCATTAAATGCTAGAGAAAAGGACTTTTGTTTGGATTAGGTGACTTACTAGATTAGAGAGGATCCCGATCATCATATACGATCGGTCCGTCTGTAACTCTACTGTAACCTACACGTATCAATACACAGCGATTTTATCCACATCAATTAGTTATTGAGTTAATATCCAAAATGATCATCGATTATAATGATTTTTCTCAATTTCGTTCAAAACGACTTTGGTGACGTAATAGTTCCAGACTTTTATGTTTTTGCTCAATTTAGTCATCCGTTTGTTATTTTGTTCATTTGGTGTTAAATAGATGGACAATTCAATAAGAGTGAATTCCATTTTTGGTCCTATTGTTATAGGGGTCTGACGGTAAATATGTTACCGGTAATAATAATATCATAATAACGGATTGTAACAATAGTTGTATTGCTTTAGTTTCAGTATAGAAAATACAGTGTGTCTTTGTCCCGAGTCTTGAACGTCCCATTTGCTAGCTGAGGAGAGCCCCATTTATACTAGAGTCCTAACGGTAACAACATGGGACATAAATGGGGGAGTCTAAGCCTTTAATTCCCTCTCATCAATGGTGGCTTCAATGCTGGCTTCAATGATAGTACAAAAGTGATTGCACTTATATTCAATATAAGAGTGAATTCCATTTTTGGTCCTATTGTTATAGGGGTCTGACAGTAAATATGTTACCGGTAATAATAATATCATAATAACGGATTGTAACAATAGTTGTATCGCTTTAGTTTCAGTATAGAAAATACAGTGTGTCTTTGTCCCGAGTCTTGAACGTCCCATTTGCTAGCTGAGGAGAGCCCCATTTATACTAGAGTCATAACGGTAACAACATGGGACATAAATGGGGGAGTCTAAGCCTTTAATTCCCTCTCATCAATTGTGGCTTCAATGCTGGCTTCAATGATAGTAAAGGTGACACCTATTGGAATTCCTAACCGTTGGAGTTTTGTCCGTTGGGGTCTTGCCCGTTGGGTTCCCATGTG